GCTCGGTCGTGACGAGGACAGAGCTCATTCCTTCCTTTTCGAGCTTTCTGATCAGCTTGGTTGCTATTTGAAGACAACTTGGTCGAATCTCATCCTCTGCTTGGTCGGATCTCATCCTCTGCTTGGTCAGGACAACCTAGTTGTCTGTTCGGTCGAAGTTTATTAGCTATTAGGTTGGACCTATTTTAGCTCGGCCCGGATGACCTAGCTACTTGCTCTACTTGGTCGGATAGCCTAGCTACTTGCTCTGCTCGATCCAGATGGCCTAGCTATTTGCTCTACTTGGCTGGATAGCCTAGCTATTTGCTCTGCTCGGCACATGCAACCTACCACGCGTCCAAGTCTCATTGTTGGTCAGAATTTATCGATCTCTTGGTCAAAATTTATCGACCCCTTCAATATCTATAAAAGAAAAAGTCAAACTTTTTGTGCAAAAACGTCACTATCACCATTCGGTGCCTCTGCTACCATAGAAATTGAATAACAACCGAGAAAGTTAGTGGAAAAATTCTTTGTTTTTTTCCATCAAATGAACCCGCACTTAAAATAATTTGAACAATTCCTAATGTATTGTGTGAAATAAGTTTTTTAACATATACAACAGTGGATCATTATCGAAGTATCTAATTAATTTCTATCTCAAGTAGGCCATTAGCCGTTTTTTCACCAGCTTTGTCCCAGTAACATTGCTCTTAACGAGTAATACTATTTAAACTTAAAAATTTGATCAAATTTATTAATATAATTTGTTGACTTAATTCACTGTGACATTTGAATTCACTGTAAATCTCATCAAATATTAAAATTTGATGTTAATTCGATAATTATTATGAAGTCACGTCATTTAAGATTTTGTTTATTTGATTGAATTTTGGGTTTTAGGTGATGTAGGGTGGTGGTGATATGTTATGTCATTTTGATTGTTTTTTGGTTTGTTTGGAGATTTGTTGATTGGATATGGAGGTTTGTTAGACCAGAGAAGAACAGGGGTGGGTTTGCCTAGTGGCGGATTTAGTATGAGGCAACACACTGAAATTTTAAAAAATTTTGGGATTTAGGTGTAATTTTAAAAATTTCAAGAATTTCTTAAATTTGTACCTATTGAAATTTTCTTGAAGTATAAGGTATAAGATATATTAATATAATTTTCAACCCTTAAAAGCTAACTTTTGGCAGCTTCTCATTTTTCACGCCTAACAGTTGTCTCCATTGAAATTTTAAAAAATTTTGATACCTAAGTGTAATTTTAAAAATTTCAAAAATTTCTTAAACTTACCCCGACTAAAATTTTCTTAAAGTATAGAATATATTAATATAGTTTTAAATCCTTAAAAGCTAACTTTGGGCAACTCCTTTTCACGCTTGTGTTTTTTTTTGTAAGCCTTCGTCTTCTTAGTCCAGACTTCCAATCCAGTCCAGGAGTCTAATTTGAAGAAATCCTAGAAGATTATGTTTTTTTTTTCGGGAAATAACTAGAAGATTATGTTGAAGCTAAGGAGAGGTAATCTATTAACCAAATTTTTTGATAGTAGTATTTGTGCTAATCTAAAATTAAATTTTTTATATTAGAAAATTAGTTTAACTCTTGTAGAATTGATGGTTGTTTGGTGTATTATTTATAGACTTATGTAGGATTTTTTTTTGTTTCATCTTGGGTCATCACTCAACTATTTTGGATTTTTGTTAAAATTCATGTTCAAATTGGTTATTTGAGATTTTTGGTTAGTGTTATTTTTCTTCCCTATGATTAAATTGCGTTAATAGATTTCTTGAAATTCTAGTTGGGATTATATTTTGGATTTATGAATTATATTTTGATTATGTGTAGTTCATTATCTCATTTGTTACGAACTTAATGACGAACTCTTAAACTTGAATCTAATTAGACAAATTTATTTTTTAATCAGCAATGAATAAGTTGCCCCAGCTGAAATGAATAAGGTGCCCCCGCTGAAGCAAAATTCTGGCTCCGCCCCTGGATTTGTCGGAGAAGATGAATGGAGGGCTATGAAGGTCTTTTATTCTTGTCATTAATGGAGTTGAGTGGTGCATTTTATTCTAAAAATCACAATAGGGTTATGGGCCATTTTTAATCCACAGGGGGTTGTGTGCAAATGGGAAAAATCTAAATATAATTAGGGTAATGTTATATGAATTTAAAAATTAGACTTAAAAGGTAAATTTGATAATCACAACTATTAAATAGCTAATGTGTCCCGATAAATACTAGGACTTATAATAAAATCAATGGTTATAATTATCAAGTCTGTTTTTTAAATTCATGTAACATTCCTTATACAATTATCATAAAATTAAGTTGGACTCCATATATATTCAAATAGATCCTATAAATTTTTGATATTATAGGATGTGGAATTTTCTTTGGTAGATACATAAAATTTTAATTACATGCAAATCTAATAACATTATCAATCACATGTACTTCAAGATTACAAACCCTATGATTCGATCAAATTTTTTTTACTGATCTATTGTTGTATAGTTATTAAGATAATGATATACTATTACTTTTGCTTCTATTTCTTGGCAAAGGGCTATCCAATTACGTAAATGACCGAAGTCTTTGGATATTTTACAGGCCACGCCTTGTCATACACTAGAATCCTTTTAGGTTCATCTATGTAATTGGATAAGAGATTAGTCAAGCGGAATGGAGGAATCCTTTGGCAAAGAAATTGGTTTATACTACCAAAGAAAGTAACGTAAGTGCGTGATTAAGAGTCACTAGGGGTGAGAGACTCAATACTCTGGACAATTAACCCACTTTATATACTGTCATAATGATATGATTTCATAGAAATTATTGGATTAATATTAAATTATAATATTTAATGAAATCTATAGTGAATCCAAATGAACAGGGAATTAAGTCAACAAATTAAATCAGATTTTTAGGTTCAAATAATATTACTTGTTAAGAGTAATGTTATTAGGACAAAACTGGTGGAATAATGGCTAATGGCCTACTTGAGATAGAAATTAATTAGATCCTTCGATAATGATCCAGTGTTGTATATGTTAAAAAACTTATTTTAGCACAATATCTTAGGAATTGTTCAAATTATTTTAAGTGCGGGTTCATTTGATGGAAAAAAACAAAGAATTTTTCCACAAGCTTTCCCAGTTCCCCGTCAATTTCTATGGTAGCTGAGACTCCGAGTGGTGATAGTGACATTTTTGCTGAAAATGAGCGACTTTTTCTTCTATAAATATATGAGCAACAATGAAGTATCTATTACCAATATACAGTCTTTTTTAAACTTAAATACCGATATACAGTAATTTTGAACTTATTTACTAATTAACGACATTTTTTGAAAGTAGATTTGTTAAATCCACTTTTATTGATAAAATAGAGTCAACAAATCCGTTTTTAAATAAAAAATAATATTTTTAATCATATTTGTCAAACTAACATTTCTCAGAGTTAACAAATGCGTTTTTTCAATGTCACCGAATTATATAAAAAATTGTTTGAATCTTTTTTCTCCCACCTTCTCCGAGTCTACCTCCCACTTCTTTGTCTCTCTCTCTCTCTCTCACACACAAACACACACACAACTTTGTTCACCGACATTCAAAGAATTTTGTCTCTATCCTAATTTCTAGATCTCAATTTGGTCATAAAGACACAAAAATCTAAACCGAAAAAGACTCAATCCTCTTCCTATTCTCTTTTTCAATGGCATTCAATTTCTAACTTTCCTTTTCCACCTCTTAAAAATCTTTCATTTAAAATTCTGTAACTGCACTGTAAATTCTGTCTTTCGAAATTTGGTGACATTAAATTAGAAACTGAAGGTCATAAAACTTCTAGAAGAGGACTTGTAGGAGGATGAGATCCGTTGGAGAGAAAGAAGGTAGAGCTATGTGAGTTGTGAGAATCTGTCAGATTTACTTGATTTTTTTAGCCTAAAAACGTGGGAATCAAACACGTTTTTAAATAAAAGTTTATTTAATAAGCCCATTTACAAAGACAATTAAAACATAAAAACGTGTTTGGTAATCACGTTTTTTTCAAAAAACGCATTTGGTAACTCCGCTTTTGAAAAATATTAATTTGACAAATATGATTAAAAATATTATTTTTTTTATTTAAAAGCAAATTTTTTGATTCCGTTTTTTATATTTAAAAACGGATTTGTTGACTTCGTTTTATAAGTGAATGCGAATTCAACAAATTCATTTTTAAAAAATACTGTAAATTAATAAATAAGTTCAAAATTACTGTAAATCGGTATTTAAGTTTAAAAAAGGCTGTATATTAGTAATAGATTCCAACAATGCATGTGCTATCGTACTCCGGGAGAAGGCATAAAACATTGATTCAACCAAACATTTTTAAGAAAACATTGTTATGACCAACATTTTATGTGATTTTTTAAATAAAAAAGAACATTTTAAAGACGTTAGTTGTAATAATATTTTTACATAAAAATATCAGTTGAACTAATATCTCTTACGATAAAAACGTTAATTCGAATGATATTTTTAAAATTATGAGTTTAAAAAATAATTTAAAAATAATCATCTTTTAAGTATGGTTTTGTAAAACCCCATGAATTGGGGTAAAAGCTCGATAATTAACATACAATGCCAAAATCCTGCGTGAAGCCAAATTGCTTAATTAAATTCTCAATAATGCCCTTTACTCTGTTCTTAGAAACAATGAAAGGACTAAATAGTTATGTTCAGATTTTTCAAAAAAAAAACCTAAAACTCACATAAGAAATATTAGTAAAACCCACAAAAAAGAGAGAGACAGAGAGAGAACGGAAAATAATTATAAATTCATAAAACATAATTCATATATTTTATTTCATAAGATTATTGATCATCTGCTTTCACACAAAAAAGCTAGTGATCTCAAAGTACAATTCTAGCCATAAAAATATTAAACTTAAAACAGCACACTATTACCATTAATCACGCATAACAGAGTAACAAACAACAATAAACAGAGGACATATCTATGACCCTCAAGCAATCTCCACGTCAATGGTCCTGGGCTTCTTTGGCTCCGGAGGAGGCAACTTCTCAACAGTAACAGTCAACACTCCATCTTTACAAACCGCAGAGATGCCATCAATCTTAGCATTCTCAGGCAACACAAACTTCCTCATGAATTTCCCAACCCTCCTCTCCATCCTCATAAACTTAGCACTTTCTTTCTCCTCCTCCCTCTTTCTCTCTCCACTGATCACCAATACATTGTCGTCCTCCACCTGAACCTTGATGTCACCGCTTTTCAACCCTGGCATGTCGATGATGAATGCGTAGGAGTTGGGGTACTCCACCACGTCGGCCGGCGTTGCCGCCATTGCTTTGGCATCCCGAACGTAGGTGCGTGTGGGGGCATTGGACTTATCGTTGCCGGCTTCGCCATCGGCGGCGTCGATCAATTGTTGGAGGGCGTGGAAGAATGGGTTGTCGAGACCCATTAGCCTGATATCCATTTTTTCTGGATCTTCTTGATTTGGGGAGTGACCTGGATTTCTCGGATGAAATGGTTTCTATTGCGCTTTTGATGGTGTTCCGAGGAGGATTGTTGGACAGCTGTGGGTGATTTATAGGTGGATGTGAAGGAAAGAAATATAGGTTTCTAGAAGGAGAGAGAGACGGTGGAAAGTTCTAGGAGGTTCTTACTTCTTCCTGAACCCCTGTGGAAACTTCCAGATTTGCATCTTACGATTTCAAAAGGTTGGGTTATTCCCAACGCGCTTTATCCAAATGGTGATATTTTAACGATAAAATAAAATTAACGTAATATCATTAAATTAATAATTTTTTAGAAGATAATAATACTAAATCAATCATTAATTAAAGTGAATCTTGGAACTTCAATAATCACCCAATATAAATTTATTATTCAAATTGAATTATAATCGAATCGAATATTGGTATATTTAAATTCTAATTCATTAAATATTATATAATGAATTTAAATTTAAATTATAAATAAAACAAATTCAATTGATATTTGTTTAGCTGGATTTGAATTTGAATCGCATTCGAATTAAAATTTGATTTGTTGATGGACTCCCGTATCCGTTTAACAAATCTCCAAACAAATCAAAAAACAATCAAAATGACATAGCATATCACCACCACCCTACATCACCCAAAACCCAAAATCCAATTAAATAAACAAAATTCAAAATGATGTGACTCGTTAAGAGCAATGTTATTGGTACAAAGCTGGTGAAATCTATAGGAATTCAAATATCACAGTGAATTAGATCAATAAATTAGGTTATATTTTTAAGTTTAAATATATTACTCGTCAGAGTAATATTATTTAGACTTAAAAAATTGACATAATGATGTGGCTTAATAGGAATCATTGGATCAACACCAAGTTTCATTGTTTGATGAGACTTACAGATAATCCAAAGGTCACAATGAATTAAGCCAATAAATTAAATCAAATTTTTAGATCTCAATAGTATTACTCTTACTCATTAAGGGCAATGTTATTGGGACAAAGTTGGTGGAATAACGGCTAATGGCCTACTTGAGATAGAAATTAATTTGATACTTTGATAACGATCCAGTGTTGTAGATGTTAAAAAACTTATTTTAGCACAATATCTTAGGAAATGTTCAAATTATTTTAAGTGCAGGTTCATTTGATGGAAAAAAACAAAAAAAATATCCACAAGCTTTCCCAGTTCCCATTCAATTTCTATGGTAGCAGAGACTCCGAATGGTGATAGTGACGTTTTTCCAGAAAAAGAATTGACTTTTTCTTCTATATAGATATGGGCAACAATGCATGTGTTATCTTACTCACGCACAAGGCATAAAACGTTGGTTCAACCGACGTTTCTAAGCAGGTGTTGGTCACACCAATGTTTTATGTGACTTTTTAAATAAAAAAAAGTATTTTAAAGACGTTGGTTAGAATGATGATTTTACATAAAAATATCAATTGAACTAACATCTCTTATGATATAAACTTTAGTTCGAATGACATTTTTAAAATTACGTGAGTTTAAGAAATAGTTTAAAAACAACCCTCTTTTAAATATATTTTTATAAAATCTCATGGGTTCGGGGTAAGAGCTCGTTAAATATCACTAAAATTAAGAAATTAGTAGTAGGTGGTACCTATTTTACAATTTAACAGAATATAATTCAACTGAACAGGTACTAGAGAACACCTGGACCAATACGAGAGACACCCCTCACATGTCACCCCAAACAGATATACCCGAGGAAAAAATATTGAGTGCAAGTGTTAAACCATGTTAGTTGTCAATGGGATCAATTTTTAACTTCGATTTTGTCTCATGATGGCACTGAAATTCAGCATTTAGTCTCAATCAATGCATTCAGATGCTCACAAAAATGAACACACAAGTAGAAAGTATACAAACGCACAAACTCAAAACAACACAAACTTCACCGGCCAATTGGCCAAATTATTTTCTTTCTTAGGAAAGCCTAAAAGAAACTCAACCAGGAGTCTGCTTAGAAAATGTTCAACTCTCTTGATTGTATTGCAGATCTCGGCATGCCTATATATTGTATATAAGGTGGCTGTTACAAGTCCAACCGCATAGCCAATGCAAAGTAACATTAGATTCGTCCACAAAACCTATTGACCATAGCTAAGACTTTCAGTACAGGTGTTCAATCGACAAATAGAGTCGGAAGTGTCAACTTCCGTTGGCCAATTTGTAGGTAGTCGAAAATGGGAATGATAAACCGAATCGAGCCAAACCACACAACCAATAGAACCGACAATCGACCCTATGTGTCGGTCGGTTTCAGTTCGGTCATAGGGTGGAATGAGCCCATACTTTTGAATTAGATCTACAAAAAAAAAGAGAGAGAGAGATTTGAATTTGAGAATATTCAACATATACGAAAATTATGAATCAAATATGAACAAAAAATTAAAAAAAAAAAATCAAATTCAACAAATTAACACATGCCCATACTAGATCAGAAAAAAAATCAGATTCAAAAACTTAAAACATTCAATAATTAGACCTAAACAAGGATTCAGATTCATCTATTTAAAACATGCACAAATCAAAAAAAAAATCAAATTCAAAAGAAGAGAACACATACAAAAAAACAGATAAACAAAAATGAAGTTTTAATCGTTCAAACTTCAAACCCCTCCGAGAGAATGTGCTACAAAGAAGATTTGGTCTACGATAGAATATGCTACCAAGATCTGATGCTTTAAGAGACTTGCTGGAGTGAGACAGTTTAGAAGATGAGGATTGAGGACAACTTCTAGAGAGAGAGAGTGTGGGCGTTCAGATTGGAGATATATATGTTTAATGTTTAATGGGCGGACAGTTCAGGGAGTTGGGTATTGAGATGGAGCTACAAATCAACCGAACCAATTTTTTCAGGTAATTAGTATTTAATTCCGAAAATCGAACCGGATGCATTAAAAACCATCTGTTTGCAGTCAGTTTCGGATTGGAGAAGCGGGTAAGCGGGTTTTTTGACCACCCCTAACTTTCAGTCACTCCCTCTAATGTGTTGGTCAGGGTAGAGGTAGTTGTAACAGTTGGCTGACCCAACTAATAACTATCCTTAACTTCTTTGCATGTTGTGCACATACCAGTAACTGCACAAAACCGCTCTATATGCCATGTACATGGTAGCAAACGTCTAAAACTGCTACCATTTGTAATGCACATGCCTCAACGATCTCACATGTTGTGCATGTGCATTTCCCTATGAGTCCACCACACTTGATTAGCCTAGCTTTTTGTGCCAAGCCATGCCTAGTTCTTGGCTTAGTCTTCCAAGCTAGCAATGTCCCATACATCAAGCCACTCGATTAACTTTGCTTGCTTGTGCCGAACATGCACATGTATGAGCTGCCTCCCTCAGTCATACATGGGTTTTCAATCAACCCATTGGTCATGTCCAATGTGCCCATGCGTGTGTCGTCTTCCATTCCATCAACGATGGGTCTCTCCGATCATTGGGCCCACATCTCGAGTCTCAAACTTTGGATTGTCTTGTTTCATCCATGTCAAACATTTGTTGAGACCATGCATTGTTGTAGTTTGTCCAGGCCTAGAGGCATAAGGGTCCCTAGGGAGGTTGGGATAGTATTCCCTTGGCGAAGTATCCACCCTCCCTTTGCCCTTTATAATAGCATTAGTGAGCAAAAACGTAGTAACAACAACGAATATACTCTACGCCGAGGAGTTATAATAACTTGAACTAGAGGCATAATTACTGCATGGCACTTGAGTCTTTGTCAAACCACTTTATTACTCAACCAAGTAAACTTCCAACTCATTAGGAAGTCAACTTTACACTAAGGGTTTACTTCACCAAGTATCACCCAATTTGGCTAACATATGGACGCCTTTGGATGAGGCAATCACATGCCAATGTCAAGCCAACAAGCTACGGGGGGTAACATCAATAGTGTTGCATAGTGTAACCTTCTATTAATAAGTAAAAAATTAGTAAGTAAATCCCACTAAAATTCATAATTACATAACCACCTCCATGATAGAAAATTGATCACATGATATCTATTTTATTGTTTTCTTATTGAGTGTAACGGTTATACCCAATATTTACTCCAAAGAGAGGACAACTCAATACCTAGAAACACCACAGGGAATTAAAAAATCTTGGCTCTGAGAACATCACCTTTCACCTTGACATTATTGGAGCCCATTGATGTCAGCCGAGTCGATTAACATGATTGGGGCAAGAAATGTCGATTACATCTCCTTCACATGGAAACCAACACGGGACTCCATGAACATTGATAGAGAGACATAGTTTTCACACACGTGAACTAATCGAGTAATAGCCCGAGTAGTGCAATAATTAAATACTTGATCCCGAGCGGAATAATCATTTGGCATTTGACCTTGACCTAATGCAGGCTATCTCTAAGCCTAATAAAGGTGCATCGTGAAGCCATCCAACGACAAGATGGAGACATTTCTAATAAGTAAACCACTAACTCTTGCCTTACATGTGGACCAATGAGAGTATTTCACTTCAAAAAGATGTTAGACTTGTCGGCTAGAATATCATTATGGGTAATCCCCAACAACACCCTTTAAGTATAAATAGTCAAAGGATTGGACCTTAGGTACGCAACAACAACTAAATATTACCCTATAGCTATCATATCCTCTCTCTCACACACACACAAAATGCACCGACTAACTTGAGTATCGGATAGGTTATGTCTGATAATCCTTCAACACCCTTCTTAACTCTCATTTGTTTTTTTTAGGAACCGTGGTGAAAATCATTTAGGTATTGTTATCTCTTTGATTGCCAAAAATCATATCATGCAATTTGACGTCGTTTATGGGAGGACTTTGAACACAGTCTTTTCCCTTATAGTTAACACCATGGTTTACACATGTTCACAGAGTCATGCATAGGACAACCCTAGAGATCGAAATTGGAGGATCAATGACCTCTCCACAATGTACTCCAAACACTAATCAAAAAGCTGAGGGGGAAGACTCCTCACCTGAGACCTTGTTGATCTAATTGAGGAAAGACTGAGAGGCAAACTGGACCAAATAGAGCACAACAACATCCATGTACTTAAAAAACTCAATGACTTCAAAAGGTTGGCTTGTACGTCCAAAGGTGGGAATCGTCTCAACAAGCTTTGAACTAACTTGTGCACAAACAAACAAACAACGTTCCTGAGACCCAACCTTTTTCATCGCTGAAGCCAAAAGGCAGGGGACTCTCATACTTCAAAATGGGAATGCTTGTAAGGGACAATCTTGATGGGAGGAAGGAAGCGATCTCAGTCCTTGGGCAAAAGTGACCTCTGTCATCAGCTTTTTCAATGCACTGAGAAAGAGAATTCTGGAGCGAGGTCCACCACTCACAATCTATGGGTAGTTCTCAAAATTAGAAGAAAAAAATGCAATGACTGTTAACAGGGATCCTCTCTCAACACTCGAGGTCCTATTTATACTAGAGGGGTTAGGGTTGGTCTTGACACAAGTTGTTGTCAATTAAAAGCAATATTCTACATCTAAACCATGTGCTCAAGATCAGAAAACACGCGTCCCAACGGTTGAATCGCGTCTTGACATAGTAAAATTATTGGAATAAATTGTATAAGCGCGTCTAGACAATGCCAGAATAAGAGAAAGGAATTTAAGATTGCGTTTGAGATGACTTATAAAATTCAAAATGTACTTCTTAAATAACAATTTATTAAAAGTACTTTATAAAAAAGTATTTTATTAAATAAATACCGTTTAGATGTTCAAGCAAAAAAAGCACTCAAATTAAAAATATTTTAACATAAAGTGCATTTGGATTATTAATTTAAAAACACTTATCAATATCTCAAATTTTAATATATCTTCAAAACATATATTAAAAATTGGATGGTCGTGGACGATAATAGAAATGGTTGGATAACTATGGGTGTTGGTGGTGGTGAGTGGCGGCAGTGGTGGTGGTGAATGGTAGCGATGGTCGTAGGTGATGGCCGTGATGTGTGGTGGTGGGCGTCAGTGGTGGGTGGTGGTAGTGGTAGGCAATGGGCAGTGGTGGACGACAGTGGTAATGGTGGTGTTTGGTGGTCGTGGATGGTGGTGGTTGACTTGGATGGTTGTGGTCGGTGGTTATGGGCGCCAGTGGGCAATGGTGGGTGGTGGTGGGCAACGGTGGTGTGTGGTGGTGGGTGTGGGTGACGAAGGTGGCTGTGGCGACGATGGTGGTGAGGGGCGATGGACAGTGGTGACAGTGGGATAATGGTAGTAATAATAATAAATATAAGAAAGAGAAATCAAAAGTCCTTGCACTTTTTAAAAAAGTCATTCCGAAAGCTTACTTAAATAATGACTTTAATTAAAAATATTTTTGTCAAGTTATAATTTTATGAATTTTTAATCTTAAAAGTGTTCAAACTGGACTTAAAGCCCAAAACATACTCAAATGTGGACTTCTAGCCTGTTCTTCAAAATTTTTATCTGGTTCAAGGACATGTGTTTCAAAGTAATGTTGTCAAAACATGACTTTTTAGAAACACACTAGTTTGAAAAAAAAAATAGAATTAGAAGTACTTGTGTTGGAAAAGAACTCTTTCATGTATACAGTGTCAAATATTATTTGTGTTCCACACTCATCATTAATGTTCTACATTTTAGCTGCCAAACTCTAGTTGGGTCCATAAGCTTCATTTAATGAAGGCAGAAGATCATGCACTAAATATTAATTCTGGAAACACATCAGAAATGGCAGGGTAAGGTTTTAGATATGGGCAATGGGATTAGCATTTTGATGGGATAGGGAGAGGGGTAGGGGCGGAGCTAAAATTTTTTTTACGGTGGACACACTATCATATTTTAATTTTTTTTAATAAATCGTAAAAGTTCATAAATTTATATTTATTAAAATTATATTTAATACTTTTTTAACATAGAAGTTTAAAATTCAATATACTCAAAAACAAAAAAATAGTAATTAAAACTTCTTATTAAGGATGCGATTAATTATTATTACTTACAATTGAGTCTGATATGCTTTTATTATTTAAAAGAGTTACAGATTAATTTTATCAGCAATATTTCTTTTATATATAAAATTGGGGTAATAATCTTCTATTTTATGGTCCTATAGTTTATTACATATCGATATATATTTTTATACAAAAATGAAATAACTCTACAATTTTAAAAAAATTATAAAATAACATTAATATGTTCAAAATATATTCGGACATGTCTAAAACATGTCTAAAAATTAATAATTATATTAGTTGTATCTAATTTGAGATTTAATTGATGGAGACGTAATGGTTTGTAACCATTGGATAGATAATAGAGTTTATCAAGTATGAAGATTCACTATTATACTTAATATCGCAATGTATTATGTACTTAAATTAAGTTTTAATAACATTGTTCAAAAAATTAACAATCATTTAGGTAATGGTCTATTTAGATTAATATCACCAAAATACAATAATAAGGTGAGTATAATTAAATATGTCTAAATTTTATTTCAAAAAATATATAATTAATATAAAATAAAATAAAATTGAGTAACAGAAAAAAAAAAAAAAGAAAAAAAAAAGAGAGAGAAGTGGCTTGTAACAGGAAGGATCTGGATCCGGTGTTGTATAGATTAAGAGTGTAAAGATCTGTTGGGATGTAACGCAAAGAACCAATCAATTTTGATTTTCAATTTATTGATTATCCAAACATATTGATCTATGAGTCTATTTTTATTTTTAGGTAGAACTGATAATGGAGTAGAGTTTGTTAAACTCGTTTTTTTAAACAAATTTAAACAATTGTTCAAATTTGACTCATTTTTAAATTAATCGAGTTTGAACGAGCAGAAAATGAGTAGAACTTGATTACTTATATATAAAAGGGTCGAATCTATTGCATTTTTTTTTTAAAATAAATTTAAAAATTTATTTAAATTTGACTTGTTTAAAAAACGAGTCAAGCCTGAATGAACAGAATACAAGTCAAACTTAAGTATTTACATATAAATGTGTTGAATTTGTTTTTTTAAATAAATTTAAAAAATTATTCAAACTGAATTGAGTCTAAACCAATAAAAAAAACAAATCAAATTCGAATATTTATATATAAATAAATTACATTTATCGAACTAATTTTTTTAAATAAATTAAAAAATTTATTCAAATTCAAATCATTGACAAAATAGCCTCGAACCACGTGCAGAACGTTATCACTTTGTAAATGGGCCCATTCTGAGTTACGTTGGTGGCAATTTTGTTGTTTTGCCAATATAACCAGCCAAAAAAAAAAACTCCAACGTGCAACACATTCAAAACCTTTGTCACATCACATTGCACGGAGAGAAAAAAAAGATAGAGAGAGAGATAAAACTCTTTCGTGTCTGCCTTATCCTTCTTCGCCACTCTCTCTCTCTCTCTCTCTCCACTTAATATTATTATATATACAAACGCATGTAAAAGCTGATTCAGATCAGACGTCAGGCGTAACCGTAACGATATCGTTTATCTAATTCATCGCTGACCTTTTTACATCCCTATCTTTCCTTTCCCATAAATTCAACTTTGTGTAATCCATTTCGTTTCACTCATTTCTATAAAGCATACCTCAGCCGGTGTTTGATTTCCTTTTATTTATATTTTCCGGCAAAAACCTATTTTGTAGTCTCTGGGTTTCGTTCAACGGGAATTGAGAAATTGGGTGTTTGATTGTGATCCCTTTTGGCTTTCGATTTGGTCGGTGTTATTACCATGAGGAAACTGAGGTCAAAGCTTGCATTTTCTCGTATAGTTGTTTTGGGTGTGCTGACCTGAATCTTCTTGATCGGGCAAGAATTAAAAAAAAGGAGGTTAGCATCTGTTTCTTGACTTCTTTTTACGAATTGGGATATCTATATCTGTAATTGTATTTGTCTGATTTTTTGGGCAAAGATAGTATATATGCCAATTGGCTGAACAGAGTTCCAATTCAAAGCTCTTAGTTCATTTTTGGGTGTGGGTATTCTCCTTGGGTAACTCTTGATTCTCTTCTGAATTTATCGACATATCTCTTGACACAGTTTCAGCTCTTACTTGATTTTGGGTGAGTAAGTCTAGGTTCTCATTGATTCTCTGTCGACATAAAGACATATTTTGATTTTGTTGAGAAAAACCATTCCCAATATTAACCTCTGTTCTTGAAGAATCAGTTCTTTTAAAGGATATACATCCATCTGGGTAGTTTGTTGACCACCCGGAACTTCATTCTGAGGATCATTGGTATTACTCTCTCTCTTCATTTGATAGAACATACAATTAGGATCACCTCACTCTTCTTTAGATATGGATATAAGTAACGAGGCAAGTGTTGATCCTTTCTCAATTGGACCTTCGACAATCGTGGGTCGGACAATTGCTTTCAGAATCTTGTTCTGCAAATCAATGTCGCATTTGAGGCATCAGATCTTTAATATTTTGGTATATCACCTACGACGAGCCAAGAACTATTTGTCTGAATATTTCACACCTTTAGTGTCGTGGTTTCATCCCCGGAACCCACAAGGGATACTGGTAATGATGACACTAATAGCTTTCTTATTGAAACGATACACCAATGTGAAAATGAGGGCCGAGATGGCTTATAGGAGGAAATTTTGGAGGAACATGATGAGAGTTGCCTTAACTTATGAGGAATGGGCTCAAGCTGCTAAGATGCTTGATAAAGAAATCCCTAAAATGAATGAGTCGGGCCTTTATGATGAAGAACTTGTAAGGAATAAGCTCCAAGAGCTCCGACACCGTCGCCAGGAGTGTTCTTTGAGAGATATTATATTTTGCATGCGAGCTGACCTTGTTAGAAATCTTGGTAATATGTGCAATCCAGAGCTTCACAAGGGAAGGCTTCAAGTGCCCAAACTCATAAAGGAATATATAGATGAGGTCTCAATGCAGTTGAGAATGGTTTGTGACAATGATTCGGAGGAGCTTCTTTTGGAGGAGAAGCTTGCTTTTATGCATGAGACAAGACATGCGTTTGGGAGGACAGCTTTGCTTTTGAGTGGTGGTGCTTCCCTTGGATCTTTTCATGTGGGTGTGGTGAAGACACTGGTGGAGCATAAACTTTTGCCCCGGATAATTGCTGGTTCTAGTGTGGGATCAGTTATGTGCTCGATTGTTGCAACTAGATCTTGGCCTGAGCTCCAAAGTTTTTTCGAGGATTCTTGGCACTCTTTGCAGTTTTTCGATCAGATGGGTGGGATTTTTGCAGTAGTTAAGAGGGTCATGACACGGGGTGCAGTTCATGAAATCAGACAATTGCAGATGATGTTAAGGCATCTCACAAATAATCTTACATTCCAAGAAGCTTATGACATGACCGGTAGAATCCTTGGGATAACAGTTTGCTCCCCAAGGAAGCATGAGCCGCCCAGATGCCTTAACTACTTGACTTCACCTCATGTTGTCATATGGAGTGCAGTGACAGCCTCTTGTGCCTTTCCTGGCCTTTTTGAAGCTCAAGAACTAATGGCAAAGGATAGAAGTGGAGAAATTGTTCCTTATCATCCACCATTTCATTTGGTGCCTGAAGAGGCTCCAGGCACAGCTGTGCGTCAGTGGAGGGATGGCAGCTTGGAGATTGATTTGCCCATGATGCAGCTGAAGGAGCTCTTCAATGTCAATCATTTTATTGTAAGTCAGGCAAATCCTCATATTGCACCTTTTCTGAGGCTGAAGGATTTTGTGAGAGCTTATGGAGGCAGCTTTGCTGCCAAGGTATGTCTTTTATGGACCTAAAATTTAATATCTATTGATCCATGATGAATTTTGTCAACAATTGCTTCCTGTGCCTGTGAATTTTCTGATATCGGTATCACTAGTTTTGTATATGAAAAGTCTTGTGACACTTTTCCTTATTTTTGTTATGATCCATAGAATGTTAGGATCAAGAGTTTCACATTCTCTTGTTAGTAAGTGGTGTGTAACTCAGAGATAGTCCTCCGAGCAATGTGGCTCAAAAAAATCGTTCCATATACTTAACTACCGAGACCCATTTGTATTTTGACTATAGGCTTCTCACTATGTGATTTCTGTTCCTTTTCTGTGCTCTCCTATAATTGTTCCTTCTGGTGTTTGTAATATTCTGATCTATGTAATGTCATAGCAGAAAGGGAATGTTGTGGGAAGTTGCTCTTGCCTTTTCTCTTCTTCTCCTTTCTTCCGTACGATTAGGAGAGAATCTTATTTGTCAAGTCACATGATTGGGGGACAAAGAATAAGAAAACACCGTAAAGTTCTGGATTGTAGAATGTGATGGTTACCTTTTTGGCTGTTGGAGTAAAGTTCACACAATCTATTGCATTCATCAGAATGCTGGTATGTAGAAGATGTACTTCACTAGTGTTGCACGGTTGACTCCCTCCATTGGAGTTGAATATGGTGGCGAAAATATGTAGTTCCACATTTGCTTGCGGTAAGTTGGGAAGGTCCTTCTAACATTTTCACCAGCTAGACGATTGTTGCTGACGAATTTTGTATATATTTGACAGACGATGGCATTTGGACCAACAGTGTCGACTTACCCGCCCATAAGACTAGTGAATAGAGTTTGTGTTTGGAAAGTATGAATAAACTAAATTTGACGTGCTAATTATGCTCCAATTAAAAAATCTCAGCTGAGGTCCACCTAGTACATTTTTTTGTGAGTCATGCTTATTAATCAAAACAATTGTCTTGGCTGGATTCATTTGCAATAAAGGTGCAACTTGGGTAGGTTGAGGGGTATATCATTCTCAACTCTAACCTTAATCCGACCTCAATCCGAGTATTGCCCAAGTTTAATTATAATTCGGGAGGGTTTGGACTATGTAATTCGGACAAATTTTGGGTTAGAATTCGGATTACGTAATTCGGACCGGTACATACTGCATAGTATTCATCTAAAGTAGCAACTAACAACTTCAATCAAATATTTAACGTAAAGACTATAGTCTTTAAAGCATAAAAATCAATGTTTAAAATAAAGACATAATAGCCAAATGTTTAATACAAGATTTAACCAAAAGACCAATCCTCAGTATTTTAACTTGTAAGTTATATTGCTATATTGATTTATATATTTATTTTTAAATATATTCGGGTTACGCCCGATTTTGAATTTGGGTTGAACCCAATTTGAAATTCGTGTTGAGCCCGATTTATATGTTCAGGTTAAACCCGATAACTCGAGGCCATAATCTAGGTACTGCCCATATTCAATTCGGGTTGATATTTTTTTATTTAGACCCAATCCAAGAATTAAAAATTTCAACCCAAGAATTGTTTTCCCCGGGTTGGGTTCGGATTGAATTCGGGTTGCCCGCTTAAGTTACACCCCTAGTTTGTGACCTTACTTCAAGCTTCTAGTTTGTAGCTTGGTAAAAAGATTATGCAATGATTGATAGCTTTCATAGTGGTGATGATTTCTTTGTACCTAACGTTGTGTTTTTCCCATCCTCTCTTTTTATGATGATTAAGTGGAAAAGGGGAAAGACAAAAGAAAATTGATTATGCTAGCATTTTAACTCTGCAGCTTGCTCATCTAGCTGAGATGGAGGTGAAACACAGGTGCAACCAGATACTGGAACTTGGTTTCCCACTAGGAGGTCTTGCCAAGCTGTTTGCTCAAGATTGGGAGGGTGATGTCACTGTTGTAATGCCTGCCACCCTAGCTCAGGTACTTTCAATTATTAATTTTCTTTGGTCTAACTTTATATGTAATGAGATGTGCAAGGAGGAGAGGTCATCCTCCTCCAAAGATAAACAAGCACAAAAATTATACGAGACAAACAAGAGAAAAAAAAAAAGAAAAAGAACTCTTGAATAACAAATATGTGCGATTTACCACAGGCCCTCCTGAAATAACTCACTGTCACTGCCAACGATATAGCATTGGCGCAATCTATTTTGATGCACCAAAAAGAATGCCTGAAGCTGTGCACGTATTGTTTATTAAGCCATTCGCAGTCACCCCAAGTAATATTTTGTTTTGCTGAAATTTTATTGAGGTATTGTTGCAAAAGCACTGTGCAGATGGGTAATGCAGAGGGATATTCAACTGATATGGGTCTTCCTTCCCCTTTATTTGAAATGAAATAGTCTCGTTTATCTCCATTATTTTTTATGCATCTCCACCTAGTGGGCATGTGCTTTGATTGTCTTCAATCTTTAATAACAGTCCCACGCTACTTATATTTCACTTTAACAGAATCAGTTGTGTCATGGTTGTAAATTCATACTTTTCTGGTACTTGAGGGTGTGAATGAATGTGTTTGTGGATCATTTGGATGAATTTTTTTTTGGCTGAGTTCACTAACCCTTTATTTCTGCAAATGTGTTTGTGATTTCAGTACTCTAAAATAATTCAGAACCCGTCTCATTTGGAGCTTCAAAAGGCAGCCAACCAGGGAAGGAGGTGTACTTGGGAAAAACTCTCAGCCATCAAAGCTAACTGCGGGATTGAACTTGCTCTTGATGAGTGTGTTGCAATACTCAATCACATGCGCAGACTCCGAAGAAGGGCTGAGAGAGCAGCTGCAGCTTCTCATGGCCTCGCCAGCACAGTCAGATTCAGTGCTTCTAAAAGAATTCCTTCTTGGAACTGCATTGCGCGAGAGAACTCTACAGGCTCCCTTGAAGAAGACCTACTCGCAGATGTTGCTTCCTCACTCCATCAAGGAGTTGGTGTGTCCACAGGAGGAAACTCTGGCCGGAATTCACGAACCCATCATTACATTCATGATGGGAGTGATAGTGAATCTGAGAACGTTGATTTGAATTCTTGGACAAGATCTGGTGGACCCTTGATGAGGACAACTTCAGCTGACAAATTCATTGACTTTGTCCAGAACCTGGAAGTGGACAGTGACTCCAAAACACACAGAGGAATTATGGCTCATCCGAACAATGTAATGAATCAAATGGCTGGCAGGGATCCATATTATCAAACCTCAACTGTAACAACTTCAGATAGAAACTCAGATGTAGAATTTGATCAGAGGGATTTCAACAACAGGATTTCCATGAGCAGTTCTAGCATTACAGTGGCTGAAGGTGACCTTTTGCAGCCTGAGAGGATTCATAACGGGATTGTGTTCAATGTTGTAAAGAAGGAAGACTTGACCCCATCGAATATAAGTCATGATTCAGAAAACAACAGCTCACAACATGATTCAGTTGCTGAATGTGTGCAACTTGATTGTCCAGAAAAGGAAACGGATGCAAGTTCATCGTCTGAATATGATGAAAGTGAAGTCACTGTAGGTGATGGTCTAGGCGAAATGGATTCTGGTTGTGACTCCATGAGTCATTCGGCATAGATGATGGTGCGGTACAGATGGTGGAGATTCGGTTATGCTCTGCTGCTGATTCAGAGGACTTGATTTAATGCTGGAGTTAAACTGAAGTTTACTAACAGCAGACAATTGGGAATTTTATTTCCACTCCAGAGTAGAAAGCAGAAAGTGAGGAACACAAAGCACTGTTCTCAGAGCATGACTGTGTTGGTTCTGCACTTATAAATAAGCAGTCCTGCAATATCATTCCTTTGAGATTGTTATTGTGTAAAATAATCTTGTGTAAGCACACCAAAGTTCTTTAACTTTTTAAATTCAGTTGCAGTTAGCATATTTCTTATGCTTTAGCTAGATTGTGGCTAGCTGAATTGCAATAAGAGCTGTTTCTTCAAGAGGCATCCAAAATCAAAAACTTAGTTCAAATGCAGCCCCGGATATCGGTCTGTCCCATGCCAATGCGTTGGGCTAGTTTTTTTTTTTTTGATGATATTTTAATTTACAGTGTGAATTGGGAAGATCATTTGAAACATATGGCGGTGGTGTTCAAAAAATTTAGAGAATCATAGATTTTTCTTTAAAAAGGAGAAATGTCAATTTGAGCTTCGAGAAGTTAGTTATTTGGGCCACTTGATAATTTCAGAGGGAGTGGGCTGAAAAAATAGAGGCCATGATGGCTTGGCCCAAGCCTACCACCTTATAGGGCTTTAGAGGGTTTTTGGGCCTAACAGGCTATTATCGAAAATTCATAAAAAATTATAGCTAGATTGCTAGGCCTCTCAGTAGCATGCTAAAAAAGGATTCCTTTAAATGGAGTCAAATAGTCGAAGAAGCTTTTGAGAGGCTTAAACCAAGCTATGACTACAGGTCCCATTTTGGCATTACCTGATTTATCACAAAAATTTATAGTGGAGTGTAATGCAACGGCCCCACAAAGGTGGTTGGTCAATCTTATGGACTACGACTTTCAGATTGAGTACAAAGAGGGAAAGGAGAACTCGGGGGCTATGGACTCCCCTAAAAATACTTGGCCAGTTTAAAAGTCGGTATAACTTTTTAAATTTATTTAAGTAAAAGTATAATTTAAAAACTTTTTTTTGGGTAAAGTGCATATTTTTTAAAAATATCACTATTATCATCGGTAAACAATAAATATATAGAAACTCATCATCTTCCATCTATTTTTTTTGGCTAAAATCAAGTGGGAGATAAGATAGGAGGTTTAATTATCAAAACTCATCTTCTTTGGCGGAGGGATTGAAATGTCAGAACTGTGACTATTCATCGTCCAAAAAAAAAGAGGAACTCAAGTTATTGTTTATCGTCCAAAAAAAAAGAGGAAGACGAGTTACTGTTTATCGTCCAAAAAAGAAGAATACGAGTTTTTTTTTTTTTTTTTTTTTTTTTTTTTACGGTCAAGTAACTGTGAATCATCTTCAACAACTTTTTAATCAGAAATTGCAGGCGACATTCATTTTTGTTTTTTTGTCATTCATTAATTTTTTTTCCACAATCTGTGTTGTTTGATTTTTTTGATTAAAAATAATTACGTAACTGTTTTAAGTAATTATTTGTGATCACAAATTGGAAGAAAAAGATAAAACAAAAAATAGTTACAATATACAAGATTTGCCAAAATAGATATTAGCTGAAAAATTGTATACAAGAGCAGTTACACTAAAACGTAATTCTGATTAAAAAATAATTACACCCATTAAAAATCAAAACAAATTTTTTTTCTATTCATCCGAACAACGAGCAACATAAAACAATTTTTGCTTCATAACATGAGGATAAAATAAATTAATTAACAAACATTGACATAGTAATCTTTTTTCGAAAACGTTCATTAATGTTTATATCAAAAAAATAGTTACACCTATTAAAAACAGTTACAGACGGTGATTGATATTTGCAGTTCCTTTTTTCGAATAAATCTACCACCGGAGAAGTATTACATATTTGTTTCCTCAAATAACTGTCAATGATGGCTGTATAAATTAAGAAAGGATGTTGTTTTCTCAAATAACTGTCAATAATGATTACATTAATTAAGGAATGATGTTTAAGTAAAAAAAATTTTAATTTATTTGAATTTTGTACATAAACATAAAATTTTTTATAAAAATTGTATTTAATAGAATAAACAATTTATTCATACACTTTTGTCTAAATAAGTCTAAAAAATGGTACCCATGCCTAAAAAATCCAAAATATCGAGGTTCCCTCGCAGTTCTTTCTCTGCTCGTACCCTAGTGGGTTGAGGCCATTATGGGAGCAGGGCCAAGTGATCTGAATCTGAAAGCTTTGAAACAAAAAATACACGAGGGCAAAGCACTTGGGCCTTGGGTCTACAAAGATGACATTATTTTATTTAAGGGAATGATCTATCTCAAGCTCGAATCAAACTTGCTTTCCACTATCATTGTTGAGTTCCACTTAAGTGCTCACGAGGGGCTCCAGAAAACACTTCACAAGGTTGGTTCGTTCGACTTATTATTGGAAGAGGATGCATAAATCAGTCCAAAAATTTATACAAGAATGCAAAATTTGTCAGCAGCATAAAGGAGAGCATACTCGTCCTACAGGGTTGTTAAGCCCACTCCCCATTCCCCGACATCTCCATGGATTTTGTTGTCCTTTATCTCAAGGTAAATCTACTTTTTTTTTTGTAGTAAGAGTAGTGAATCACTTTTCAAAATATGGGTGTTTCATTCTGATCCACCACCCGTACACTGCTTCATCCGTGACTCGGTGTTTTTTTTTTTTTTTTAGCACATCTTCGAGCTATATGCACTATAAGAAATTAAATTTTTAGTGGCAAGATTTAGTTTGTGGTTAACAATGTTGCCACTAAGTATATGTATTTAATGGCAAAAAATTATTGTTGTTGCTAAAGATAAGTTGTGAATTTAATTAGCGATAATTTTAATGTTGTAATAAAAGATTATCAATAATTCATCACTACTTTAGTACCGCTAAAATTTAATGTTAATAAAAAAAAATTTAGTGACAAGAATTTAGATTTAGCCACTGCTATCTTCGATTTTAGTGACAACAGTTTTTTGCTCGCATCAAATTGTCTCATCTTTTTTTCAGCCGCAGTCCGTCTACGGGAGCTGAATGTCATAATTTTAGTGATAACAATAAGCTGTCACTGTTTACTCTTAACAAATTGAGTTAAACGACGTCGTTTTCTCCAAGTATAAATCCCACCCTGTGCAGCCTCATTTCGTCTTCTCTCTCTTTGCTCAATCCTTTCAACCTCACTTTGTCTTCTCTCTGCTCTCACTCCCACACAAATGCACCTCTACAACCGCTCTGTTACTTCACTCTCCGACTTCTGTCTCTCTCCTCGATAAACAGATACTCAACTGAATCCACTTCCTCAGTCGCGAGCGCAACGCACACTATATTGCACAAACACACACACTGAATGGTATGAACACACACACAAACACATCTGCACAAGTCCGAAGTGTGTTATATTCCGGTGAAAATATGACCATCGCCGACCACCGTCACAAGCCTCAATTCGAAGGGGAGCCTGGAGGCTCTGTTTGTTCTGGCAGCTCTACTAATGATGTTTCCTCTTTTGCAAGATCACTCCATCAGGTTAGGCATAGACTCGTGCTAGATCCAATTAGAAATCCAAAACTTCCTCATGCGTTGTTGATTTGTTCTTCGTCGAATTTGATTATTTAGGCCCGTTTTGTTTGCATGTGCTAGATCCAATTAGAAGTGTGTTGATTTGTTCTTCGTCGACTTAAAATTCGTGATTCCGTGGAGTGACGCAATTCGAGTTTTCGGAAAGTACGCAATTCATATTTCGTAAGCTCTACATTTTCGTTTCGTGGCTCATTTTTCCTGGTTGTTCCTCGTTTCTCATTTTGTTCGCCAAGAAAATTTGGGGAAACAAAAAAGAATTTTAAGTGGAACAAGCTAATTGAGATGTGTTTTCCTTCAATTACCGCACATATACGTGTATTTGTGTATGTCCATTTCAATTGTTTTTTGCATTTCTCATTTCTAATTTAGTTCCCTGATTGTTTAAGTGTGAGTTGAAGACGAACTTGGCAAATTGATCAGGGGTGCTGTTAGTCCCGTGTTTGAATCTATTCCAGTCAAAATTTGGCTAGCGATGAATTGGAGTAAAAGATTTCATATAATACTGGCCCTAATTGAACTAATGGTTGTTGCTGATATCAACGTGTTTGATTAGGGTTTCTTTTAGGTAAGTTGAGTGCATGGTAATTACTACGTATATCTTGCAATTTCTCATTATTAGGCTCTTCTAGTCCAGAACACAATGTTAATATTCTGATGCGGGCCTATTGGAGGCTTATATTGACTTGCATTTGTGTTGATAGAGCTAGTTGTTAATAGATTGCTAAACTTCAAGTGTCCCAAGTAGTTGTGTCCAGATTTATGCAGCAACCTTTCTTTTGTTCATATCGTTCTGTTATATTAATTTTGGGATAAATGTGGTCAGTGTCTATTTCTTTTAACAACAATATTAGTTGCTGTTTTGACTTAGGCTAGTTACTCGATTCATCTTTATCCATAGGCACTCAAATAACTATTGTTCTTTTGCACATTGATCATGCCATGAAAAATGAAATCAACTATATGAAGATATCCCTCATTTTGTTGTTTCACATTCTTTTCCACTTGATATGCTCTCTTCCCCACCATTTTTTAATACTGCAACAAGGATGAGAGAAGGAACAAAGTATTTACTAAAATAATGTAAAGGGGCATCTCAAGAGATATATCATAGACATCTATGTTGGATTTGTGTTGTGTCGAGATATATCACCCTTAGTTGAATGTTTGTTCATCACAAAGTTGAAAATGGAGTTATGTGAAGTTAGAGAATTCTTCGCTCAAATTATTTCCAGGGGACAGTACACTGAAAGAGCGGCTGCAGTTGTGACTCATACAATTGTTGAAGTCATACAGGTAAAGTTTTGTCTTGCTTGGTCATTAATGTTATATTCACAGTATGATGTGCTTATGTTTTTTTCTTTCAAACATCCTCATTGTATCTTTATTCTGTATGATCACAACTGTCTTTTCTCTCTTCAATGGAGTGCTAATGTTTAAGTTAATGCCATTAAAAGAATGAACTTGATGTGGATTAGAGGACTAGTATTCCATTTAGTGTGATTCATATCATGAATATTACATAAGAACAACCTTTCAGTAGTTCTTGCATGAGAACCATGAAGTTGGAGCAAGATACACAGAAGTTCAATTAAATAACTACCTGGAAACAAACTTAAATGAAAACAGATTGATATATATGTGATGTTAACTTGTGGTTGGAGCAGCAATTACGCTGAACACTTCCCGGTGGCTAATAGTTGTTGGGCAATTAATGTACATTTTCATCACTAAATCAGATGGTGCTTGGACTAGGTTCACATGGCCAGCATTTTCAGACTTGTTTGGCTTTGTCAAGCTTTCTTTGGCTTTTGCCATCATGTTATGGTAACTCAATACCCCATTTCTCACTCTGTCTTATGCTTTCTTGTATCATTTACATTACTAGATATGTAGTCCAATGAATGAGACTCTTTTTGATATTTTTGGATGAGATAACATCCATGGTTATTCTTCTTTTCAATTATTTTTCATTCCTTAGTTTTATTTGAATTTTATAATGGGTGACATTGTTCAAGTTTGTGGAGCAGCCAGAGAAACAATTAGATCAGAAGAGAAAGGTTAAGTTCAAGATCATGAGTCTAAAGGTGAAAAGCAGGATCAGATTATGTACCTGAGTTGGTAAGTTCTCTGTCCTTAGTTTATTGGGTCTTATTGTTTTCCTAAGTTTCATTTAAAAATTTTGAATTAGATGCTTTTTTTTTGGGTTGCTTGATCGTTTAGTGAGAGTTAGTAGCATCCATAATGCAAGATCATACAAGCATACTTATATAAGATGTAGTCTATACTTATGGCAGGTATTCTGGCTTTGTTGTTTTTATGGATCAAGATGGAGCTGTGTATGTCGAGTTGGCATACTGCCACCTAAAGGTCAGTGCTTGTGGTGGATGGGGCCAGACCTTTTCTTTTATATTTTTTTGGATAGGCATTTTCTTTTTAAATTTTTGAAATAAAATTAACCTAATTGTATTTCGTTTGTTATGTTTGCAGGCTAGCACGTGCGATGCATAACTCTTCAAATTGCCAAATTGTCACAATAGTTATGAAGTCTTGATATATATTTGAATCATCTCCAATATGTCTTCTCTTGATTTTCTTCAATGAATTTGTATTAATGTTGGGTAATTTATGTTAGGTACAAACTAGTGGAAGCTCTGAAAACAGTTTTGGAAGGCTCGCCTCCGAAGACTAAAGACGAAAGATCTCATAACTTGTCAAAAAATGAATATGTAATTGAGACTTGATTGTTATGCAATTACTTTCTTTTGAGTGGGGTATCATTGTATGGTTGCTAGGACACAATTTGAAAATATGATCATAACTTTTTTTGTTCATTCCTATTCTTTGACGATGACGCGTTATACAATTTAATGATGTAATATCAGAATATTATTTTTACGTGATTTGATTTGAGAATTACATCTTTGAAAGTCAGAGTTTATTATGTTGTTTTTTTTTTTCATTAGGTATATATATTGATTCATTAAACTATCATTGGTACGTGAAATTTGAAAATATTGAAAAATAAATTCTTTCAAATATGAAATAGGTATCTTTGTTCATTTTAATGTATTAATTAGTAACAACAATAAGTTGTCAAAAAATCATGTTTCAAATTTCAATGGTGATTTTAATTGTGGATAAAATATATATTTGTAGCCGCAATTAATTGTTGTCATTAAAAATCAGGTTTTAATCGGACTTTTAGTGTTGATATAGTACATTTTAGTGGCAAAATTTAGTTTGCGGTTAAAAATTTTATATTTAGTGACATTTTTCATGGTGCGGATAAAAAATTTATTTTTAGTGGCAACAATTAAATGTCATAGTTAAATGATTTAGCCACACACATATTGCTGCAGTCTAGTGGCAATAAGAATATTGTCACTAAAATATGTAGTGACAATTTTTATGCATTTAGTCGCAATAATTTTTGCGGCTAAAAGACCAATTTCTTGTAGTGATGGTATATGCCCAAAATGATTGTTTGTTATAGGTCCCGGTGTTCACAAGTCATTTTTGGAATGAGCTTTTTTAGTTAAATAGAATTAAATTTAACTTTAGCTCTACGTACCACCCACAAACTGATGGCCAGCTAGAAATGGTCAACAAGACCCTATAAATGTATCTGATGTGTGTAACAAGCTCAAACCAAAGGAATGGGCCTCATGGCTTCCATAGCTTGAATTCTGCTATAATACGATCATAAACTCTTCTATAGGCAAAACTCCCTTTGAACTGGTCTATGCCAAAGCTAATTTGAAACTTGTCCAAAATAGAATGAAGTCTCTCTATGATAAGAAACACATCAAATGAAGTCTGTCTATGATAGGAAACACATCAAATGCAGCTTCGAAGTGGGTGACTCGTGTATTTAAAGCTGAGGCCATATAGACAACATACTATAGCCCAGCGTAGAAATGCCTAGTTCGCAGCCAAATATTGTGGCCCCTTCAAGGTTCTAAGTCGCATAAGACAGGTAACCTACAAGCTGGAATTGCCATCTTTAGCGAAAGTGCATTCATGTGTCTACCTTGAAAAAGAAGCTAGGAAACAATGTCTCTATTCAAGCAAACCTGCCAGTGTACGGCACTACAAACTAAGAAGAGTCATGCACGCCTAAGTCACCCTTGGAGTCACGGATTCCCAAAGGGAGACAAGAGGTCCTTGTCCACTGGGAATGCCCTCTCCTTCGGATGTAACCTGGGAAGATTATTCTAGCTTTGCTCAAAGACTTCCCTCTTTAACCCTTGGGAAGTTGATACGTGGCTAAAACTTGCATGCAAAACGTGGCTAGAATGGACTGATAGGAGATAAGCATGCAAGTTTCTAGGGGTTTCGGATTGGGATTAGAAACTGGATGGATGATAATAAAGGGTGGCTAACTTCATGGAAGATTAGGTTGTTCGTAGGTTTAATTATTGGTGTAATTATGGTAGAGTAGGAGGTCATTTGGGATAGGCTTGTTTTCCCTCTTTAGATTATCAGCATCTTTATTTCCCAGCATTTCATTCCGTTGAAGTTGGCCATGTAAGGCTATAAAAGGCCAGTGAGATTATGAATAAATTCATCGCCTAATTTCATCATCTCAACTCACCTTAAATTAAGGAGGCCAGGGTTCTTCGGAATCCCTAAATTAGGAGGCCTAGGGCTAGGACCCCTCGAAGTGTCCTACGCGCTCAACCACAAAGGCACATAACATAATCTCATGGTTAAGAGCCAATAATTCTGTGATGGAAGAGGGTGGAAGATTTTAGAAATTCTTCCGGCAACTCAATAGTGGTGGAATTGGGAAATAACACCCCCTTAAAAGTGTTGGGTGCTAACAACAGTTAGAACCCTGATATTACTATTTTATTTAACTTCATTTTATGCCTCTTGCGTTTGCGTTCTTTGCCTTTTGTTAGTATGTGGTAAGGTGTCTTGTCACCCATTGGCAACACAAGGATGCCGAAATAGGTGAGGTTACACTCATCAACCAATTCTTTTGGCCGCCCATTTTAATCTACCATGCTCATCTACATCTAGAACACTAGAATATCTAACCATGAATGGAGAAAGCCATAGAGAAATGCATATTGACTAGCGATTGGGTTAGGTTCTAATAACCAAACCTGTCGAAAACCAAACCTGAATATCTTGGTTGGTATAACAGCCCCACAGCTACATGACCATTAAAATTTGAAGGATGAGTTCTAATAGAAAGTTGCTCATGCCTACCCCAAGAAATTGTTGCCAAATGTCCCACCTGGACCCACCACAAACAATATCTAAAGGTTCCAAATCCATCCATCTGAGAAAAGTCAGAGTTGGAACAATGACTAGTGTTAATCTGTTCAAACAATATATCATAAAGGTTCAATTTTAAAAATAGGGTTATCCAAAATAATGATAGACTATACCACCAACATCCCACAAACGTGTTATACGCAAAAAATACTTGTGTACTCCGTACGACCCAAAATCTGCCAACTCAAAACCTAAGGTAATAATAATCTAGTGTCGACTGCTCACACTCTTAGGTCCCGACGTAGACCGAAGTTCTGTGCACTCAGTTGGATTTTTTCCAACTTGTGGATAAAAATTGAGTAGGACAAGTTGGGTGGGTCGAATAGAACAATCCCACACCCCATGTCAAGAAACAGTATACTCCACTCTAAGTTGAACATCATTAGTTTTTTGTAACTCTCAAATGATAATAGATATGAGCTCTCAATTTAAACATTTTAAGTTCAAATTTTAACAATTTTTTGATATCAGATCATGAAAGATTTTCTCTCATGAATATCTTAACCTCGACGTGAATAACATGTTTTTAATCAGATCAAAAAAAGAAAATTAATTAATATACGCATAAGACACCTCTAAGTGAGCATCATTACTTTTGTCAAAACACTAACATGGGATGTAAATATACAAGGATTCATGCAAACTCTTGGAAGCAACCATCATCATATTTTCCTATCTACGCATATGCCTTTTGCTAGTGCTCCAAAGCATATTGCCCCCACCACCTTGGCGTAGGCTGTCCGTTTCTCGAGAAAATATTCAATCTAACAGTCATATTATATTAATATTAATAATATAATATTATCAATTAATAATAAAATTTTAAATGACTTAAATAAATCACACTTAAATAATTATTGACTTGTATAAAAAAAAAGTGAGTAATTTTTGACTTATATGAACAAGTTGTTATTGATTTATATGAGATCTATTTTTTTTATTTGTTTATACCGGTGATATTAAATGATAATGCCCACATAGTATCTGAGTGTGTGTGGATGTCGAGTTGCGTCACGGACTTGAGTAGTGGCTAACCTTCTCTGTGTGCACAGTGTCGGCACAAAAGCTATGTTCCAACTTTCCAATTTGGTGAAAGATTGCAAACCATCCTCCCCCCCCCCCCCCCCCCCCCCCCCCCCCAAAAAAAAAAAAAACAAAATCTAGAAATATATCTGTCAATAAATCAAATTTTAATCCAAATGAATCAGCTGAGTTAGTTTCATTGAAATTTATAAATTTGAGATTTAAACATACTAATATATTTTTTAATTTTTTTATTAACAGATCACATATTATTTATTCAAGTGAGACTTATTATATACAAATGAATCTCTCATTCATTAATAATAAATAATTGGGAGAATTACACTCAGACCTCTTGAGTTTTGTCACTTAATCATTCAGACTCTCTGACATTTGAAATATTACACACAAATCCTTTGAAATTTGTCCACCTGTAACACTTAGACCTCTGCTGTAAGTATATCTATTAATAAATTATGCTTAGATCCCTCTGAAGTTTATAGGTATATAATACTAAGACCAAAATCAAATAAGGGGTCTAAATCATTCATAATAGAAGATGAATTTTACATTCAACATTCATTTTCTGTTATGTCATTTATTGAAATAAAATCAAAAATAAATGTCTAGTTTAAAAAAAAAAATCATAGTTAACATATAATTATAATATCTATTAAAATAAAACTAAAAAAATTAAACAATTGGTCAAACTGTAATAGACACAATATCTTTTATCTTTAATTGGAATAGTTTGATATTTTCATTTGGTCGTTTAAACTACCAAATTAAATTTTAATATGCACTATAATTATAAACTAATTACGATTTTTTAAAGAAAAAATTGAATTTTTATTTTTGATTTTATTTCAACAAATGATACAATAGAACATGAATTTTGGTTGTCAAATTTAAAATATCTGATATTTTATTTTTAATCTAAGTATAATATTTTGAATTTAAGAGGTCTAAGTATTATATACTTATAAACTTCAGTGGGTTTTAAGTATAATTTATTAACTGATATATTTATATAAAAGGTTTAAGTGTTATACGTATACAAATCTCAGGGGATCTGTGTGTAATATTTTAAATATCAAAAAATCTGATTGATTAAGTGACAAATTTTAGGGACCTAGATATAATTCTTCCTAAATAATTCGTCAAAAATATATTAGAGGCGGTTTTGATCCTTTGTGTAGGAATGGCTTTCAAAACCTGAGGAAATTTCCGCCACATTACAATTCGTCGATATCTGCAAGTCTTCCAAGAAGAAGACCCATTATTTTCTCCGAAAAGAGCGGAAGACTTTTGACACATCGATCTTTTCACTTTTTTTCTCGTGGTGACTTGGTATACGGTTGGCCAATTACGGCATCTTCTCTAATATATATACTTTTTAATTTCTTTTTATATATTATTTGTCATGCATTTAAGTGTAACTCATTATATATAAATGAGTCATTCATTAATTAATGGTGGACGATGTGCCAAAAAAAAATTAAACAAAAAAAATTTTTGAGAGGATCTAATGGTAATTACAAAGAAGTAGGGGTGTTAATTGAAACAAGTTATTCTAGTTTGGCTCGAATGAGACTTGGTTTAAATTCGTCTCGTATTCTAAACGAATTGAGTTTGAAAAAACTTTTAGATTCATTTTTAAAAAAAGCCTTAAAGGTTTGGTTCAAGTTAACAAAGTTGACTAATTTATATGTAAAATAGTCGAACTATTTAGACTTAATTCGGATTCAGTTCTGGCTCGAATTTTAAGTAATTCGAGTTTAAACAATTTGGCAAACTCGTTTAAAAAGTACAAGTTTGACAGGTTCAGACTCGAGGTCGACACGATCAACACAAAGATTAAAGAAGCCAACTTTTAGTTCCAAGATTAGTTTCAACAACCTTTTCTTGTAAATTTCCTGAAAGGTTAAGGTTTAGCTACAAGAAGCTTCCTGTAAATTTCTTTACAGGTTGGAGGGAAGTTATTCGAAGACTACCGCGAATTGATTGGTCAAGTCTAAAGTGACCTTGGTTATTGCACAGGTATCCGTCAATTTTACCCAAGGACATTAAAACAAAACTAATAAAGCAATGACATGATCAATTAATATAAATAATAAATGAGTTGGATTAACATGTTTTATTAGAATTGTATGTAAGAAATGAGCATTTTATTATTATTTTTAATTTTGTACATAATATTTTATGATTTTTTAAAAAAATAAATTATTTTTTAGTAATATAGATTCGACCCTTAAATAACGTGGCTCAAAATAAACCCGACACAACATGAATCGAGATTCCTACATTATAGGAAATAGTGCAGAAGAAAGTTTTTAAAAAGAATTCTCACATTTATCCCGTTAGACATTGTAAAGATACGAGAAAATTAATTTTTTTTAAAAAAAAATTGAGAGCTTGATTAGTATGAAATTAAAAAAATTAATAAAATAAAAACTTTCTTTCTGCCAAAAGAAGAGAAGAGTCATATTTTGTACACATTATAGCATCAATGATCCTTTATTTTAAAACTAGCAATCGTGCATTGTGCAAGTAGACAGAAATAGAAAGATACTGAAATAGAGAGGGAGACTGATTAATAAATATAGTTAGTCCATGGGTGATTTTTGCACAAAAGATTGAGATAGTGACACCTAATTGAATAAGGGATGAAATTTTTTAAAAAAAAGCAACGAGGTTAGAAAGGGTGTCGGAGATTTGTCTAGCATATCCCATGATACTGAAGATAGTCGGCGTTCAAGACAAAGATTATTAAACACTGTAATTTGGTTCGGACTATGCGTACCAGATGCCCAACGCTTTAGGCTATTTATATCTTGAGCGATGATATCAACGACTTTTTGAGACACACCTTCCTAATATGGCCAGATTAAGTGGATATGATACATGTCCACGCTCCTAGCTGGTTCAATCAGCCACAATCCTCCGAAACCTTAACGTGGAGAAAATACATTCAATGTGAGAGTGATACTATATCAACATTAATGGATAAAGCACGCGGATTGAGTATTATGTGGTGAGGATGGGGGAGAGAGGGAGATTGATGGGATGCTTGCGCAGTTGGAGAAAGCCACAGCTGTTTGACAGGCCTTTGAGCCAACAGACGAACAATAGCACGCGGAAACAGCAAGCACACGGTTAAGTGTACATGAAAAAGTGCACAAGTGGACAATCTTTCGTCAGTTGCATAAAGACTAACTGAAACACTACCCCATGTCCAGCTAAGATGGAATTCTTGGTTAGTAAATTACACTTTATACCTTTGAACTATTACCCTTATTTTATTTTATACCCTCAACTATAGAATTTCTCATATTACACATTAAAATATTAAATTTGTTTCATATCACTCTAATAGATAATGACAAACTTAAACATTTATCAAATGAGAGAGAAAAATCTCAAAGAACTTCCCGCTAAGTGTTTAGTATTACTTTATTTCATCTCTTTTGCAACCAAATAATTACGAAGAAGAAAAATAATGTCGATCAGAAAAAGAAAATTTGGAGTTTAGAAATGAAAAAAATCATGGATAGGTATTTTTCTTGATTTTTGACTTATATATGTGTAATAAATAATACAAATTACTCACATGCGTATTTACCGTTAAAAAATTGATAATCGTTATTTATTTGAATGATATGAAATAAAATTGATATTTTAAGATATAATATAAGAAATTTTATAATTGAAAGTATAAAATAAAATAAAGGTAATAGTTTTAGGGATAAAGTATAATTAACTCTATTCTTGGCTTACAAAACCCGACTCTGCCCGTACTAGTGTAACTTTGTCTTCACAGAAAAGTATACGGTGCCCAATCTTACCGACAAAATAAAAAATTACAATTCCGAAAGATCGAACTTAGTATTGAATAGAATCCAAAATTTGTGATCATAACTTCTTGTTCTTAAAAAAAAAAATCTTTGACTTGACTTGTTTGAATCGCAATTTTTCGGGGTTTGAATAATACTTTGCAAATATAATCGTTGGCATAATTTAATAACTTAATCAATTATAATTGTTAGATTGAGAGCGAATATCTTTCAACGTGAGACTTGTTATTAATCTAACAATTACGTTAATTAAGTTATTAAATTAAGTCAATAGATACAAATAGTATTACTCTTTCTTTTTAAAAGTGGTAATAGGCATAAGAATGGAATTCATGAACACTTGATCACGGGCAATTAGATAATCTTCATCCATATCCACAAAAAGTAAATATCATAATTAGTCTTTAAATTTTACTTCTTTGTTTTAAAATGGCTTCTCAACTTTCAATTGTCTTACTATAATCCATCAACTATTTAATTTGTGTCAATTAAGTCATTCCGTCAATTTCAACAACCAAAGAAAAGGGGCAACAAATGATGTGGACGGTCACATGAAAAATATGTAGCTTGCCTGATTTATTCTAATGGGTGAAATGAACAAAAAGATTTTATTAAAATAAAATTGATAATTACGAGATTAAATTGAGACAATTAAAAATTTAGATATTATTTTAAAATATAAAACATAGTTTTAAGGTAGTAATTGTGATATTTACCTGTCTCAAAAGTCAATTTGCGCCAATTAAAGAAAAAAAAATATATTTGTCCATTTTGTGGCTAAGCATACAAATTGATAAATTCCTGCAAAGAGGGTGAATTATAGTCAAGCTATTATGTGGGCTTCAGTTAATAATTAGAAGGAAAGTGTCAAAAGAATAGTCTAAGTTCATATAAACTTCAATGAAGTTTACTCAAATTGTACTTTAATGTCCACAAGTACCTTTGAAAGTGTCCAAGTATCTAGGGGGGCCTCACATAAAATGGAGCTTAAAACAAAAATTTAAGTGGGGTCTCATTAATTTACAAAATAAAATTAGAGATTTAAGTTATTATAAAATATTATTGTCTTTTAAGATGCAAAACTACTAATAATTAGATTTTTATATTTAAATTTTATTAACTTTTATTTTTTAAATAGATATTATAGTTAATTTGAATAAAGTACGATATTTGTGTACAAAATTTTAAAGCCCCCTAAAACTCAAATTGGGTTTGATTGTACCAAATTTTATTTGAGGCTTTAAACAAAATTGGGTTTAATTGAACTGAGTCATAATTATATTTTGGACCTCGAAAAATGAAAATGAATTTACTTGAACATGAGTTTTATAAATTTTATTCGAGACTTAAGAATAAAATTAAATTTAATGGAACATGTGTCTAAGAATGTCAATTGAGATACTAAAAATAAAATTAAACATAATTGAATAATAATTTAAAAATCTTATTTGAGATCCTAAAAAATATCATTAGACCAAACTTCTTTTTTAAAATTTATTGTAGTCCATTCTAACTTATATGTTCACTTCTTTCAGACTTTTTGCCATAATTAACAATCTGAAAAGTGCTCATGTAAATATTTTAGTTAAATATCAAATTTACCCTTCCTCTTTCCCAACAAACTCCTCCCCCAACGGCCCTCTATGTTCTTACTCAAACAAAATTCAAACTCTATTATATATATATATATATATATATATATATATATATATATATACTAGTCATAACCCGTGCCTGAATGCACGATAAAATATAAAATTCGAGCGTCCAAAAAATCGTTCCCACTATACTAAATTTTTTCAAAATATATTAACTACAAATTAATTAAATATTAAATAATTAAATATATAATAGAAATGAGTGGTGTGATGATATCTTTAGGGATGAAATATATAAATGATTAAATATGTGATAGAAATGAGTTATGTGATTTGACGTTTGAGTCTGACAAAAGAATGATAGGTGAAGTAAGTGATTGATGATAGTTTTGAGGTGAAAAATATGACTGAGATAAAATTTAAACACACTCCTGTTTTATTATATAGATATATATATATTTAATTTGATTTGACGATTAAATATATGTCATATTCAGGGACGATTCAAGACAATTTGAGGCCTAAAATAGAAATATTAAATGGGATTTTTCTATTTTTAGTATTATTTTTTTTAAAAAATTAATTTATTTTTAATTTTTTAGGTGAGAGAGGGGGATAAAAGAATGGTGTGTTAATGTTGTCGAAAAAGAGATTTCAACTTTTACTTTTGTTTTTTACCATAGAGAATGAGAAAGAGTATTTAATTTCAAAATTTATTTCTGTTTTTTATTTTTTATTTTTTATCGCAGAAAGAGAGAGAAATAAAAATGGATGAGAGTAAATATGAGTTGACTTTTGAATATTTTTTTAATTTATAAGTTTTTAATGTTATGGATTGGATCATGAGCCCAAACTATTACAATACAAAAAATAATATTATAATCTAATCAATCTCATAAGTAAAAAAATATAATATAATTAAATATACAAATACTCAAGAACGATAAATTCCATTACAAACAAATGAGGAAATGTTTACAATTACAAACAAATGAGGAAATGTTTACACGAGCCGAAAAAAGATACATAAAAATGATAGATTAGGTATTCACAAAGGGACAAAATATATTAATAATTAAATTTAACAATAATTAAAACAAAATTAATTATTTGACACATACTTTATTATTCAATTTTATTATAGAAAATATTATTATTTAAATATTGTGCATTGCCAGAATATATATAGTTAATATGCAAATATATTTAATTTTTAAAATGGTTAGAGATAAATCATAGAATAGACGTTCAGCTTATTTTCATTATTATTTAAATACTGACAAAGAGTGTCAGAGAAATTTTTAAAACAGACAAAAAATGCCGTTAAGATTAAATCTATCTACAAAGAGTGTGATGAAATTTATAGTAAAATTAATTTGGATTAAAATTTACTTTACTCCACCAAAAAAGAGTGGCAATTAATTAACCCTATTTCATATTTGAGTAAGAATAAAGTTATGGTACTGAGGGGTATCGTACTAAAATTCTGAATTATTATTTTTAATTTAAAGAATGTATACATATTACTTCAAAATAATAAAATAAAAAATACTTTATAAAAAATAATATGAAAAAGTGTACTATTTTGCATAATACGCACTACAGAAAAAGTCCTATTATTACTCACCAAATCCAAACAGAAACCAATAAATTCTCCTTCAAAATTCCCTCCTACGAACCTTCCTGGAAGCTCACTATGCCCAGCTCTTCTCCCCCACCTCGGGCCACCATTTAAACTCCTCTCCATCTTCTCTCCTTCCGCTCAACCGCCATTCTCTCTCTCTCTCTCTCTCCCCAACCCTCCACAGTCTTCTCTCAACTATTTCTCTCTTTTCTTTCTGGGTTCTGAATTTCCGCCATGAAACTCATCAATCTCTTTAAATCCAAGAAGAGTCGGGCAGTTTCAAGATCTGACGAGTCGTATTCTTCCGGTTTCGTAACGACGTCGTCCGAATCCTCAGTATCATCATCCTCAAACCACAAGTCCAAACCCGGCAACGACTTAGCAACGCCGAAGAGCGTTTTACCTTCTCACTCATCGGTCGGTGACGAATGGCCCCAATTGTCGGCAGATATGGGTTGTGAGTTGGTTCAGGCTTTCAAGTTCATAGACCGAGACGGCGACGGGAAGATCCCGACGGCGGAGCTGAAAGCGTTGCTGAGTCAAGTCGGGAAGGCGCCTCCGAATGAAGAAGAGCTGAAGATGATGTTGAGTGATGTGGACAGGGATGGGGATGGGTGTATCAGCTTGGAGGAGTTTGGCGCCATCGGCCCGGCTTTTGGGCCGCCGGAGTGTGACTCGGAGCTGAGGGAAACGTTTGATTTCTTCGACGCGGATCACAACGGAAAGATAACGGCAGAGGAGCTTTTTAACGTGTTCTCCGTTATAGGAGATGGGCAGTGCACGTTAGAGGACTGCCGGCGCATGATAAGCGGGGTGGACAGGAATGGGGATGGGTTCGTGTGCTTCGAGGACTTTAGCCGTATGATGGAGCTGCAGAAATGATTGGTGAATCATCATCATGATCATCCTATAACGAAGTCGTTTTACATATTTGTGTTTTAAAGTTGGGGAAAATGGGTGTGTTTTCTTGCTATATGTAATTTCGGCTTGGTGTAAAAGATTGATCAATTGGACGGCTATGATTAATCCATTTTAAAGTTGTTTGGAATTGCCGTATATATATGTTTTGTTTTGGGTCATTGTGGTAATCTTTGTTTGAAGATCATCAATTGGGTGTATTATTTGCAAGGAAAAGACTCTTTGGTATCGTATTAAAATTTAATAATTATCGTATTAAAATTTATAATTATTTAATGTTAAGTTATAATTTTTTTTAAAATATAAGTTATAACTTTTAAAAGTCATGATTAATCATTATAGGTTGAAATTTGTAATAAAATTACAACTTTTAAAAGTAAATTATAACTCATAAGGGAAAAATTACAACTGTTCAAAGGAAATCTAGATCGATCATAGTCCCTTTTGATCGATCATGGATATCCTTTGAGCAATTGTAACTTCTCTATTTTGAGTTGTAATTTTACCATAAAAATAGTAAGTGGCAATACGATACAACAAACTTTCCCTATTTGTAATCAATGGATCATTTCATTTATAGTAGTGTTTTAAAACCTGGTCTGGTCCGATTCGATCAATTTGACCCGGTGAATCGGTGAACCAGTGCTCGAATCAAGTCGGTTCTCATAAAAGACTGTTTGTGCTTGAAAATAGAACTGTTCAAAAACCGATGAACACGTTCGAACCAGGAGAGTTAAACTAAATCGGACGATTTAATTAAAATTATATAAGTAACAGATCTTCTGCACTTTTTTGGCATTTTGTGTGTTTGCCCTTTTCTTTTGCCTTAAATCGCTCTAGATCAGACCAGAAGAGGCAACCTCCACCAGTGATTCCACGCTCCAGTCCAACCTCCAACACCAACAGGCAGTAGCGACTCCAGTCTAGCTTCCAGCACGTAGGTAATATCGACTCCAGTCCACTCTCCAGCACCAGCAATGACTCCAGTCCAGCAATTGTGGATAGAACCAGTGACGAGATGAGTTTCCCTCTCTTTCTCTCTCTTTCTTTCTCTCGGGTTTTACCTTTTTGGGATATTTTGCCCTAAAGTATAAAATGTTTCCAAACCACCCTGCTCTGAGACTCTCGAATGCTCCCTTTGCTTCTCTTTCTCTCTCTCTCTCTCTCTTTCTCTCTACTGCGACTAAGAGCAAGCAATAAAACCTCAAGGGTGAAAGAACTCTACTTCATAGACTCCTACTTCATTGCTTTAAGATCTCTTGCTTCGAAGAAGAGGCTGCTTCAAGCTTTAGATCTCCATTGTGGCAGTTAACGACAACTCATATTGATAGTAGCAGGTACTACTCTGCCTCTTTCTCTCTCTTGTTATCTTTCTCAATTTCTCTCTCCTGCTATATTACATTTTTGATTTGTATACGTTAAATTTGTAATTAAGAGCAATCATACTCTGCCACTCTACTATTTTTATTGAATCTGTAATTTTTTTATTTTTATACATTGAATTTGATTTTTGATTTGTGATTATTTTCATGCATGAATTTTTTATACATTGAATTTGTGATTTGTTAGGATGTTGTTGATGCTTTTGAAGCTTGAATTTAGATATATAGTTGTGTCTTTGTTGCGTGAAATGAGATTTTGGTGGGTTTATTATAATTTTTTTGCATATTTATTTATTATTTTTTAATATATTACCGGTTCAACCAGTGACTTAACGGTTGAACCATTGACCTAGTGATCCGGTCTTTTTGCCGAGTTGTTGTCCGGGTTGGGTTTTAAAACACTGATTTATAATCAACGATAAAGCCAAATTTTTATATAGTAAGGACAAATTATAATTCATAATTAGATTAAAAATATAATACTACAATTATTTAATTAATCACAAATATGTTAATATGTCCATCTTGAAAAATAAACTAATTGACGTAATTTATAATAGTCAAATTTTAAATTGTAGCCAGTGATCTAGTATTTGTGTATTAGTGGGAATCCATCCAAAGATTTAGGCCTGGGCTTTGACTCTGACGGAGTTAGAGAGCACATATTCAACCTTTGACACTGATTGGATTCAGATGAAATTTTTCTCTCCGCTTTCGAATCTGAACTACTCTTATCTCCACTTCTGACTACAAACTACTCTATCTCCACATTTGACTCTGACTCCGACTTTGATTTAGTTAGGTTGGATTTGGGCTAATTTATGTTAGACTTCCTTAAGGAGATAGTTGTGGGTTAACTAATAGGAGAATAAATCTATTTTACCTAGGTCGACAATGTATATGGTGGCAATTTGCGATTGCTTGCTATGTGTGTGAAGTCCTTTTTTTCACTACCAAGCAGAGCACCACACACCAACACATTCATTGCTTGAAAAAGAAACAGATCTGAACAAGGAACTCAAAAAGTTGTAGAAGATCCAAAGAAATTCACACACAAATCATCGTCTTTATCCAGAATCCAAGAAGCAAATCTATACAAGAACAATGTTCAGAAGAAACCCATAAACAGTGGCGCTTGAAGCGAGAAAAGAGAAGGATTCATGGAGATAAGTTTCAATTGAGCGTTGAAGGACAAATGATGATGGCTTTGGACTTAGATCAGTGGTTGTGGTTGTGGTTGGATTCCTGAACAGATAGGGCTCCAGAGGTAGTCAAAGTTGGTTGACCAATCCAAGTGAGTCCATGAGGAACGATTGGATCTGCGTGGAGTCAATCTTAACCTTCTTTATCGTCGATGGAGATTGGAGCTACATGTTTTTCTTCATGTAGTTCTTTCTAGTCGGAGTTGAGAGCTGTAGTATATAGTACAACAGTAATGTTATGCTTATCAAGTTTTTCATCTTAAGTGATGTGATATAATCTTTATTATTAAATATTAATGAGACCCACTTATTTTATGGTAAATACTGTGCCACATCACTTGAGATAAAAAATTTGATAAGAATTTTTGGTCAGTATAACAATGTTGATAGTACAAAGATCTCCGAGAAAGAGAGAAAGAGGGGAAATGAAATGAGCAGTGGGGCTTAGGGGTCAGTTTGAGTAGATAAGATAGAGAGTTTATAATTTGAATAATATATTTATACAATTTATATAAAATTATTGATTAATAAAGTTGGAGTAGAAGTTTTTTTGAAAAAGATTTCAAACTCCAACTCCGACTACGATTGGAATTGAAGTTTTTTAGGAAATGATTTCAAATTTCAACTCCAACTTCGATTACGATTGAAGTTGACTTCAACAGAGGCAGAGTTGGATTCAGAGTCCGATTTTTGGATAGTGGCATACATCTAGGAAGATTATCGATGGGGTGTATTAGTGGAATCAATGCTTGATCTGATTTTCATTTAATGATATTGGTTGACCATCTATTGGGTATAGGTGAAGATCCTACTGATAAATGGTGGATCCCATGTATATTAATGATAAATGATCTACTAATAAGTAAAATTGAGTGAAAATGTAATAGAATTTTACTAAAAATTGGAACCAAGTATAATAGGAGGAACTGTTTTGCCAATATGGATAAACGCAACCATTTTGGGTTATTAAGGACACATGTTATGTACCTTTTCGTAAGTACGTTTGATAGTCCCTTTACTTTTTTTTTATTTTCTATTTTGACCTTCAGTGGATCACACATATCTTTTCAAGACTCATCTCTTCCTTTAATTTCTCTCTTCTCTATCCTTCATTCCACTACTTCTCTCTCCTATCTCTTCCGTCTCTTTAATTTCTCTCTCTTGTTTTAACTCGAATGTTCTTCTTCAATATATCATTTATTTAGATTCATTTCTCTTCTCTATATTCCATATCACTCTTTATCTCTCCTCTCTCTTGTACCTTATTTATATTTTTGTCTCTCTTTATCTTATCTTTTTCATTCTAATATTTATCTCTTCTCTCACTTTCTTCTATTTTCTTTATTGTATCTCTTTTTTCCATCATGTATTGTTGAGAGATTGTGTCAATCATTACCTTCAAAAAATTATCCAAAGTTGTTGTAAATCCAAAGGATTCATAGTGGTGATGTTCTTTGCCAAGCTCGTGTTAACAATATTTGTTGAATTCATCGGTAAAGACTATGTGAACTCATTTTTCTTTCCAAATTAGGACACTTTCTCTTTCTCTCTCTCTCTTTCTCTCCCTCTCAAGTAAATATTGAATGCAACGGTGATATTATGTAACCATTGATGACATAGTATCACTAATTAATAATAAAACTCTAAATGGGTAAGATGAACTCCAATTGGACTTACATGGAAGAAGATTGAAGAGTTATTTACTGACATGGTTAGTTATTAATTTTTGTGAGGTCCATTTATTTATTTGTTTTAATATTATTGGTTGGTGATACCACATCATCTTGCCATGTGATATCACTGTTGTAATGAATACATAATGTCACTATGTGTGTGTTACAGTGATAGCCACATTGACATCGTGTATTATGAAAATTTTATATTTTTTTTTATCTTTTTTTTTGTTTCGTTTTTCTTGTGGGATAGATGTTTGAGTAACTGTTATTGTCCTAAACAATACAGTGACATTGTCACTATCCCAGGGGACAGTAACAATCGAGTATTTTTATTATACAGTGACATTGTCACTGCCTCGAAAATAGTAACATCAAAGTATTTTCATTATCCCAGAACAATAACAAAAACACTGTTATTATCCTGGACAGTAATAGTGGCATTGTCACTATCCAAGAGACAGTAACAGTGGAGTATTTTCACTATTTCAGGACAGTAACATAATCACTATTATTGCCATGTGGACAATATTATTGCATTCCAGTGTCATAATGTGCATTCTTTATTTTTGTACACACACACACACACGCACATGCACATATATATGTATATATATAAATTTTAAAAAGTTTAAAATAAAAAAGATTTGAATCTGTTTTAAATTTTTAAATGTGAATTATATATAAATAGTTTAATTATGAAAGATCTAAAATTAAGGAGATTTGACTTTGTTTCATTTTTGAATTGTGTATTTGATTTGTTTGAATTTTAAATTTTGAATTATAAAGAATAGGGTATTTCTGTCTTTACACACATAGTTGTCCTCAAAGTCCCAAAAAATTTGCACCTGAACTTTTTCTCCTAAAAGACCATAACAGTGCATCAACTTCCATTAAAAATCTAGATCCTAAAAAAACCATGCCATGGGACAATGTATAGTCCAGAGTAATTTGTGCCCAAAAATTGTGGCTTAGATATAGCCATGATCCCAATTTTAGGCTCGAGTGTTCTGGGCTAGTCTATTCAGCCGAGGTCTATGTCTCCAACCTTGGGCCCCTTATAGGAATTT